AAAGGTTCCAAGGGTCTTGCTGATACGTTTGCCAGCGTGGAAACCCAGGCATGCTCGTCGCCAGGACTCTTACCATCCAGATCGATGACTCGGGCGGGCGGGCGGGCGAGTAGTGATGATAATGATGATGGTGGTGGCGATGCTGATGATGATAATGGCGATGATGATGATAATGATTGCGAGGATGAGGATAATGATGATGACGAGGATGATGACAATGATGATGATGGTGGTGTTGGTGATGATGGTGATGGTGATATTGATGATGGTGATGATGGGGAGGATGAGGATTATGATGGTGATGGTGATGATGGTGATGATGATGGATGCTGGCGATGGTGATGGTGGTAGTGGTGATGATTGAGATGATGATGGTGATGGTGGTGATGATGGTCGTGCTGGTGATGCCAGTGTTGATGATGAGCATGGTGATGGTGATGATGAGGAGTATGCTGATGATGGTGGTAATGGTGATGGCGATTCTGCTGGTGGTGACGATTGTGATGATGATGATGATGATGATGATGATGATGATGATGATGATGATGATGACGGTGATGATGATGATGCTGATGCTGATGATGGTGATGGTGATGGTGATGGTGGTGATGATGATGCTGTTAATGCTGTTGTTGGTGGTAATGACGATGGTGCCGATAATGCTGATGCTAATGACGATGATGATAATGATGGTGATGTTGGAGTCGATGCTCATGGTTATGATGATTATGATGCTGGTTTCGATTATGGTAGTGATGATGCGGATGATGGTGATGTTGGTAATGGTGGTGGTGATAATCATGATGATGACGATGCTGTCCATGATGATTGTTCGGTTCCTGTTGATGGTGATAATGATGGTGATGAAGATGAGGATGATGGTGTTGATGATGCTGATGCTGATGATTATGAGGAGGAGGACGATGATGATGATCAGCATCACCATCATGATCATGACCATGATCGTGATAAGGATAGTGATGGTGATGCTGTTGATGCTGATGATGATAATGATGCTGATGATGGTGATGATGATGCTGATGCTGCTGCTGATGAGGATGGTGATGATGGTGATCATGGTCGTGCTGCTGCTGCTGCTGATGGTGGTGATGATGATGATGATGATGATGATGATGATGATGATGATGATGATGATGATGATGATCGAGTGCTGTTGACAGGGACCGTGCGCGAAGCTCACCTAACCGTCAGTTTAAGCATGCATGGCCGACGCGAGGGCCCGAGGCCCTCCACAGGGCCCACGGCGACGAGGGACGGGCACAACACGCCAGACTGGGGCAGCCCCCCGCTACGACCCCTGGTGCCTGAGGCCGCCCGGGAGCCTTGCGGTCAGGCCGCCCCCTCCCGCCCGAGCCCTCGCGGGCTCATCGGACGCACGAGTCCCCAGACCCAGACGGAGCACCGCCGAACGCTGCCTTGGGGCCGCCGGCCGAGGTCTTCGAGCCGCGCCCGGCGGTCCTCGGGCCAGGCGGCCTCACGGCTCGCAGGGCGTGCCACTGGCTCGGGCGGCTCAGCCTGGCCAGCGCCCCGCCGCCTGGCCTCCCGCCGCGCTCGCCGGCCGCGCTCGGCGCCCTGCGCGCGGCGGCGCATCGCCCGCGTGCCGCCAGTCCGTCGCGGCGGCCCGCCGCCGGGGCCCCAAGCAGCAGCTCGCCCCGCGTGGGCCACCGCTGCCGCGAGGCGGCTGCGCCCTGGGCCGCGCGCGCGCCAGCAGGAGCGTGCCGACCTCCGAGACGCAGCCCATGCCGATCTTCCACAGGTCCGAGGCCGATGAGACGGCCAGGGCGGCGAGGAGGCACGCGACCGCCACCGACGGCTGCGCCGAGCTCCACGGCCAGGTCCACGAGGAGTTCCAGCAGCACGACTGGCAGCTCCACGACCAGTTCTTCGAGGAGCTCCAGCTCCACGACGGGCAGCCCCACGAGGACGAGATCCAGCTCCATGACGAGCCTCACGACGACGAGCTCCAGCGTCATGAAGGGCAGCTCCACGGCCAGGTCCACGACCAGCTCCGGCCCCACGGCCAGTTTCCCGACCAGATCCATTTTATTCCGAGAGAAAACAAAAAGCAAAGTTTCCCGACCAGATCCATAGCCATGACGGGCGGCCCAGCGAAGAGTTCCGTGAGCTCCACGGCGAG